TAATAGTACATTCACACTATCTCATTTAGGCGGTTTTGCTCATTATAATCACTAATGAGCATGATTTACCATACAAAGAGCTTTCATATAAATGTGCTGATTTACAATAAATCAGCTCATTTTAGACCAAAATTGTCGAATGCAACCCTTTAAAAAAAATTTCCCAAAAGGGAAATGACCAAAATTTGAAGTATCTGTCATATATTTTTAAATATAAAATGTAAACAAACAACAACTGTGCTGTAAATAAGTACACTGAGAAAGTAATATTAAATATAATCTGTTTTTATTAATTGAAATGTAATTAATATATAACATGTATATAAATGATTTAATATATCAATGAAATATTTAATTTTTTAGTGAGATATATTCATTTATTTCAGATGGATTCATGTCAATGGCAAAAAGAAGTACGTACTAGTATTTAATAAAATTTTTTGTTTTCATGAATTAAATAGGCAATACAAATTTAAATAGTTGATTTTAGATTAATTTAATTAAATATTATTTTCAGACACAGAAAATGAAGAGAAGGAGAAATGCTTGGTCGGAAAGTGCCAAATTTAGTGTTTGAAAGTATTGCAGGTGAGTTTTCACAAATTTGTTTAAGTTTTTCAAAATAATGAATGTGTTTATTTATCAGACCAGGCCCCGTCATCAAATGATACATCGTTGCTGTCGCCATGTTCTTCTCCACCGATAGATCCAATATCTACGTCGGAAGATTCTGAAACACCTGCAAAAAAAAAAATAAAGGCAATTTGAATGACACCCTTTTGGAAAAATTTCAGAATCTGATAGATGTAGAGAACCGTCACATCGAGCTGCAGGAACGCACAGACGCAAGGTTCCTGAATTTAATGGAAGAAAGCAATGTTGCTTTATCCCGTATCGCGTCATCAATGGAAAGAGGTTTTCCATATACTCGGCTCACTGGTTACGATGACTCCAGCGATGAATAGCGATAATTATTTATTAATAATATAACATAATTTATAATTATTGTTATCATTATACTATTATAATTTAGATTAAGTTACTTTTTTTTTTTATAAATATATAGGATAATTAGATTAAGTTATTTAGTGCTACAAAGTTAAAAATTAGGATTAGGTGAATTTCTAATAAAACTTACTAAAAAATGTAGCTAAACATCGTCTTATTTGTTCTGCATTTAGATCACCGTCATTTAATACTGAAACTTCTTCTGGTTGTTGTCGTTCTGAAACCAGATGTTGTTTTTTCAGAGCACGTACCCAACTTTTTTCCACTACATCATTTTTGTCATTTCATTTCGCTTCTGTATTCAGCCGACGACCCAAGGCAATACAAGCCAATAGCAATTCTCTTTTCTAAAGAAATTGAAATTCGAAAGGTTGTATCTCTTTTCTGTAGTCCTTTTAATAATTCACATAACTCCTTAAAACATTCCAAACTCATGCGAAAATTTTCTTTGAAAAAATTTGGACCATTTTTCTGGCAATCCACTTTCCAGAATTTCTTTGTTCTTTTCTGAAAAAAAATGTTAATTTTAAACTTTATTTAATAATCATTACTGGCGGCACTAACCAAAGTCCAGCACTTCCTCCGGTTGCTAGCAATTATTGTAGAAAGTATTGCTATTTGCTTTTTTCTTATTTCAAGTATATTTTTTCGGTGCATTGCACGACATTTACGATATTCAGAAATTGCTTTCTTTCTATTATTAATAATTTCACACACATTATATATATTATGTTTTTTAAATTTTCTGCGTTTTCCATTTTAAAATATTTATTTTACACAATACCAAAATTTTTCTTTGTGTTTTATTTGTAAACAAAAGAAAGTTCTTTTATAGCTTTTTTGACATATAAAAGTTCTAAAAGCTGTATAAATGAGCTCATTATTATGTGAACGGTTTCTCATTTATATAAATGAGCAAGTGCCTAAATGAGATAGTGCGAACCTGGTATAAGTTGCGTTCTAAATGAGGGAAATTCTAAGTTGTATCGATAATGTATTGATGTGTCGATACGTGTTGATAAATGGCAAAATGTGTGCAGTGCAAAAAATCCCAAAAAATCTAACATTTGGTTTAGCATCAACTTAGCCTAACTCGCACACGACCTTAATGTAACTTTTTGTTTATAAATTAAAATTATATATTAATTTTTGCTTGTCGAGAGTGAGGCGTCTTTATGACGAAAAGAAACTATTCAAAAGTTAGATGGATTCGAATAGTAAAAAAAAGAGACAAGAACAAAAATTTAGTTAATTTATTGAAAATTGGCTGACCATACAATGCAGTTTCGAGTATTGCCACGTCATCATCAGTGGTCTTAGGAAATATTCGAATATGAAATATTCTTTTTAATTAGTTTATAGTTCCTGATGTCCAATTGCGTCTAATAAGGCGCTACTTTTTTTCGCCAAACTCCATGTTTTCACTAGTTGTTTTGTTTATATTTTTTACTGTATCGTATTATATGTTAAAATCGCTTTGCCAACTACATTTTGCAAAAAACACGTTCTACTCTTATATTATACATCCATTCCACATTGAACCAGAATGTGAACCGATCAATTGCCGGTTCACCCCATTGCTGAAAGTTACAAACTTTCATTTATATTCATCGTCAAATTAGTGACAGTAACATAACTTAAATACGTCATCATTGATGTATTTTAATATTCTCAACCTCAAAGCCTTAATCTCGAAAACTAAGCTATGTTAAAATATAGTGTAGTCCAAAAAGCAATTCAAAATAACTATCTTGACTAAAATCAGATAAGTTAATAACGAATGGAATTTGTGTCAAGAGCTAGATCAAC